CTTCCCCGGACTTAAGGATTTCTAACTTAGACATCTCTAAACAGATTTTTATCTTGCTCTCCGCAGAATATCTTGTGACTTTGTTCCTTTGACCTAGAGAAATGACACATCAGTCACCTCTCATGTCCCTGGCATTTGGGCAACAATGCTTTATTGTAAAAATTACCCAAGAAACAAAGGGTCCAAGGCAACACATTTCATAGGCATTACACTGCTACTGAAAAACATCCCCACAGCATGATGCTGCTACCACTATGCTTCACTGTAGGGATGGTATTGTCCAGGTGGTGAGCGGTGCCTGGTTTCCTCCAGACATGACGCTTGGCATTCAGGCCAGAGAGTTCAATCTTTGTTTCATCAGACCAGAGAGTTTTGTTTCTCATGGTCTGAGAGTTCCTCAGGTGCCTTTTGGCAAACTCCAGACAGGCTGAGGAGTGGCTTCCATCTGGCCACTCTACCATACAGGCCTGATTGGTGGAGTGCTGCAGAGAAGGTTCTCCTCTCTCCACAAAGATACACTGGAGCTCTTTCAGAGTGACCATTGGGTATTTGGTTACCTCCCTGGCTAAGGCCCTTCTCCCTCAATCACTCATTTTGGCTGGGCGGCCCACTCTAGGAAGATTCCTGGTGGTTCCAAACTTCTGTCATTTATGGATGATGGAGGCTGCTGTGCTCATTGGGACCTTCAATGCTGCAGAAAGTTTTCTGTACCCTCCCCCAGATCTGTGCCTTGATACAATCCTGTCTCGGAGGTCTACGGACAATTCCTTGGACTTCATGGCTTGGTTTGTGCTCTGACATGCACTGTTAACTGTGGGACTTTATATGGACAGGTTTATGTCTTTCCTAATCATGTCCAATCAACTGAATTTCCCACAGGTGGACTCCAATCAAGTTGTGGAAAACATTTCGAGGATGATCAGTGGGAAACAGGATGCACCAGAGCTCAATTTTGAGTGTCATGGCAAAGGCTGTGAATACTTATGTACATGTGGTTTTCCTTTTTTATTTTTATTAAATTTCAAAGATCTCAAAACAAACTTCTTTCATGTTGTTATTTAGGGGGCATTGTTTATAGAATGTTGCGGAAAAAAATTCATTTAATCCATTTTGGTATAAGGCTGTAACACAAAATGTGGCAAAAGTTTAAGCGCTGTGTATACTTTCATGCTACGAGCATGGTTATTACTGCACTCATGTTCCACTGAGAACTACAGCACTCACACTTTGGCAATTACTTAGGCATGCAACACTGTACCCAAATTAAGTGTTTTTTTTTCTTTGAGCCACATAGCTTTCTTTTGGTGGTATTTATTCACCACTGGGTTGTTATTTTTGCTAAATAGATAAAAAAAAGACCGAAAATTTTGAAAAAAAGCATTTTTCTTAAGAAAAAAAATGCAGATAAATAATCCTAAATCTAAGCCGAAATTCATTTTGCTTCCTTTTTTGGTAAAAAAAAATAATCCAAATCAATATATAGAAAAAAATATAATTTTTTTACATTTTTATGTGCGTATGTGTGTATATATATATTTATATACAGTCACCCTAGCGGTACAGTTCTACCATAGTTACACTTTATTGCTTATGGGGGGGATGATCAGGATTTTTTTTTTTGTTTCTTTTTACACTGTCAGCCATGCTGGCTGTAAAAGCAATTATTTCTCACTCTCTCTGGATGCATTCTTGTGATAATACCGTGAGAGCTGTGATTGGTCACAGTTTATCACATGGTACAAGGTACTGTGAATGGCCTTGTAGCACACGATCTCTGTGATAGATCACAGAGCTCACATTAGTAAACAGTGATTCCAGGAAATTACATTTGTTTACTACTGTGCATGTGATTGCTTATTGTCCAATCAGTGGTCACATGGTACTGGGGCCACCCGCAGCAACCTGGTACAGTGATTTGTGTTCCACCAGGCACACGTCATGCCACTGTGCGTGCCTAGGGAACGGGCACAAGCAAGGGATGTTTGAAAACGTCCACCCGAATCGGTGCTGCTCTTGTCCGTACGTTTATGTAGATGGACTGGACGGGAAGAGGTTAACTGAAGATGGAACCTTATTGGTCACCATGCACTCCAGACTCCAATTTTAGTAAATTCCCCCTATTGTCTGCTGAGACAGATTTTTTTTTTTAGTGTTTGTCATAGTCTGAATCAGGGGTCTCCAAACATTCTAAACAAAGGGCCAGTTTATTTCCTTCAAGCCTTAGGGGGGCTTGACTGTGGCAAGTAGGAGTGCAGATTTTCCTGGCAACAGTAGGAGTGAACATCGCCACATTTGGTATTGGGGTCGGAATAGTGCCCCATGTTGGTATCATTGGGAGGAATAGTGCCCCATTCTTGCTGTCATTGGTAGAAATTGTGCTCCATTGTTGTCCAGTTGGCAGACTAGTGTCTCATATCAGTGAGAGGACTAGTGCCCCAGGGGCCAGATAAAGGCAAGCAAAGGGCTGCATCTAGCCCCTGGGCCACAGTTTGGAGACCACTAATCTAAATGTTCATTTTCTTTTTTCCTGCTTTTAAAGCTGAACGCTGAGATATAAAAAATAAATATAATAAAACCCATTCAGTTGCCCTCACACTTGCACTGCAAGGGTTAACTGCTCATTTAACCACCTCCCGCCCACCATATAGTAATATGACGGACGCAAGGTGGTTCTCTCGTTCTGGGAGGACGTCATATTACGTCTTCCCATTCTAACCGCGCATGCACGGCTCCCGGAGCGTGCGGCTATAGGTGGTGTGCTGTGTCCCTAGGACACAGTGGATCACCGATCCAAGGAAACAGCCGTAGATGTTGGCTCGGTCATGTGATCAGCTGTGTCCAATCACAGCTGATCACATGTAAACAGGGAAATGTCAGTTATCGGCATTTCTCTCCCCACGAGCTGTCACGCGGACAGCTCGTGGGGAGAGGAGAGCCGGTAATCGGCATTCCTGGGAGGGGACATGTACACAGATCATCAGAGCACTGATGATCAGTGTGACCTGATGATCTGTGTAGCCCCAGCAGTGCCACCTGTCATTTTCCATCAGTGCCAGCTCTCAGTGCTCATCCATGCCACATTTCAGTGCCCATTTGAGCTGCCTTTCAGTGTCATCCATCAATGCCAGTCAGTGCCACCTATCAGTATGCATCAGTGCCAGTCAGTGCTGCTTATCAGTGCCATATATGAGTGCTGCCTTTCAGTGCCCATCAGTGATGCCTGTCAATGCCCATCAGTGCCACCTATCAGTGTCCATCAGTGCAGCCTATCAGTGCGCATCACTGCAGCCTCATTAGCACATATCAGTGAAGGAGAAAAATCACTTATTTACAAAATTGTATAACAAAAACAAAGAAAAAACTTTTTTTTCAAAATTTTCAGTGGTTTTTGGTTTAAGAAAAAATGAATGTCCCAGAGGTGATTAAATACCACCAAAATAAAGCTCTATCTGTCACAAAAAATATGATAAAAATTTCATATGGGTACAGTGTTGCATGACTGCGCAATTGTCATTCAAAGTGCAACAGCGCTGGAAATTGGCCTGGGCAGGAAGGGGGTATAAGTGCCCTGTAGGCAAGTGGTTAAAAGTAGAACTAAAACCACTGATTTATCGATTTCCCAAAATGGTTATATTTAAGCCATGCCTTGAATGATAATCATAACATTTACTAATGTGCTTGTGTTTTCCTCTCACCTGAATGGTTAAGCTATCAATTGGCTGATATCATAGCTGATCACATGCAACACCACTGCAAGCGCAGATCAGACAGAAGTTAAGGTGGCTGTAAGGGTTAGAATGAGTTCGTTCTGATTTCAGTCTAAGGGATGATGTAATGCCTTATTGCTTGCACCCCTAACAGCCATCGCTGTCCTCTTCTCTCTGATGCTGCGGGTTCTGGGCAGGCCCTTGTCATACTAATGTACAATTGGGCCCCGTTCATATCTGGTGTTTTGGGATTTTAAGTATAACCGCTGCAATTCTGCTCCCGAACTCAAATTGCGCTGCAGTAGTGGCAAAACGCACCACGTGTGTTTGGGTGCCATTCATTTTCATTGGTTTCTAAATGAGGTGTAGTTTTGCCGAGATTGTTGTGCGATAAATCATGCAGCAAACCACAAGGTGCAAAACTTGCATGAGCTTCTTTTGGGCTACAAGCTTCACGCGATGCAGGTTGCAATTATTCCATTTATCATGTGACAATCACAGCATAACTGCACCCTGTGTAGGTGTCATTGAAAATGAATGGCACCCAAGCACACCTGGTGCTTGCCATTATTGCAGTGCGGTTCACAACGATTCAGCCCGAGATCCCAAAACGCCAGATGTGAATGGAGTCTTAGTGACTACTGGTTCACAGCACTCATACAAGGGGTGTGCACATATGGCTGGAAGGTGGGGAATTCCTCAGCTGGTTATGATTGGCTGTCCACAGTGATTCTTCTTGTTGGGATAGCTCATAAGTTTGAACTCCTGTCCAAACATACCTGAGTTCATCCCTGTTGCTCACCCCCCACCCCCCCCCCCCCCCCCCCCCCCACCCTGCTGCCTCCCTCTCCTCACTCTCCCAATCCATGCTGTTGTCCTAGGCTACTTACCCCCGTCCAACACTGCAGTCACCCCTTACCTTTGCTTATGTTTACTGTGCTTTTCACCTCACTTGCATTTAGATGTTGACTAACCACAGTGAATGCTGTATTGTAGACCTGATCATCTTGATTGTGTTTTTTTTTACTATTGGTCTTTTGTTTTGTTGTGTAGCTGGTTCTTTGCTTTTAGTTATTAATATTGTGTTTTCTTATTTAGTAGCATATCTTGCTGACCCTATGGTTAATATATTTATCACCACAGGTCAAGATTTTTTGTATATGGTCGACATCGCTACACACAACTTTACTCAGAAGATAACTTCTCCACAACCAGCGCTAAGTCTACACTACAAAGTCTAGTTGTAATTTTAGCTTTATCTCTGTGAGACGTCACCAACATACATGTGTTTTCATGAAGAGGGTGGAGAAGCCAGAGGGATACAGGCAAATGAGGCCCAAAACATTCCCTGCAAGCACATATACTGGCAATAGCAGACAGATGCTGCTGGAAATCCGCGAAAGCCTCCGTCATCTTCCTAAACCATCAGATGCTGCTAAGGTTGAACAACCTCCTGCCAAAACAGAGGATCCAAGGCAAGGAAGGAACCCACCTAAGTTTGTCACATATCACAAAGCCCTGGCTGAGATTCGCAATTCCCTACAGCCTTTTGCAAATTCCTCAAATTCAACCCAGAGAGGAGGAAATGAAGTCAATAGAAAAATGCTTCATGATCTGCAGACTGCCGGATTTGATGAGGTAGAGCTGGTAATTATTGAAATTTAAAGTGTAATTTATCTAAGATGCCAAAGTCCTATCCATAGCTATTTTTTAAATGTTCTTTTTGCCTAAAGCAGCCAGTTTCATTTTTCATTCTCATATACTGCACTGGAAACATTTGAAGAGTACTGGTTGCTATAGGATGAGTAATAAGGTCTGTTTTTCCACACTCATCGTCTAGGACAGCACATGGAGAGAGTGGCTCTGTTTACCTAAAACGGGAAACTCCTCATCCACTAGCAATAAAAAAAAAAAATAGCATAGTCACCTAGTCTCCTCAGCAAGTTTTTCCTTGAGCCTAACAGGAGCATCTAAATAGCTTAATTTCCCTCAAGGCTTTGTGTGAGTTGCAGTGAACTATAAGACAGTGGACCTGGAGGGGTTACACATCTGGGCTTTTCTTAACTACTTTTGTTGTTATCCCAATTGTGGGACCTTCCCTCCCTATCATCTTGGTTTTTCCCAAGGTCTCCTCTCTGAGAAGTTTCCCTGTAGTTGAAGTGGCTGCAGTGTAGCCCTCTCACATTTGGGGAAGGAAGGGGGTGGTGCAGGGGGGGCTGCATGTCTCCTATTTGGGTGTCAGTGAGATAGGAGCAGAGGAGAGTGGTTTCCCTGACCACTTTCAGACAGGTGACTCATGTCTGCTGAGCCAGGTGAGGCACTTCAATGCATGGGCCAGGACAGAAGGTGGGATACTACATCGTGGGTCTCCCGAAATGGACAGTAATATGGCTAGTGTGTGGGTATATCCTGGTGCCGGCATCCACAGATGCCAGAGAGTGCAAGCTGGTAAGGACATACTGCTCTATGTCGTCATGAACCTTCCCAGGGGTATCGCAGCAGATTTCCTCTGGTCAGCAGTGCTACACGATGCAGTCTGATTCCACCATGCCAGCAGCTATGAATTATGCAGATATGGGCCCCAGTGCCTCCAGGGTAGGTTGGAGTTTTTCTTATAGCCCTCCTTCCTATCATACCCATACTGTAGGGAGGCACAGTGTGGTGTACCTTTGGGAGAATGTCCTTTTGGGTGTTGTTTGCTATTGTTAGAGGTGTTGGTGTACCTCTTACAAGAGCAGGAGTTGGATACTCTGTGTGTTGCTATAGGTCATTGGTGAAGAGGAGACTGCAGCTCTAATACTTCCCCCATTGCAGAGTAGCCTGTCAACAGCCCAGAGGTAAGCAGAAGTTCCAACCTATTAACTCCTTCTAAGCCTATTTTACACCTGTTGTTGTGCGGGGATACTGGGTTACTGTCCTTTATGCCTTCTTTTGTGGCAGGGAGAGATGATTACTTTGGGGGGGGAGGGAGGTGTCATGCTGTGGTCAGGACTTTGTGATAGAGTTTAAGCAATAGCCCACCCCTAGGCAGAACTAGAAATATTAAAATTGGATCCAGCAACTTTTGACAGGCTTCAAGGCTAAACCTCTGTGCAAGGGCTTTGTAGACAAACCTGTGTGTAGTAATTGCTTCTTAACACCTGCATTTGTTGGACTTCTGATTGATCTGATTGCACAGGGTGATATGTTTGCCACCTCTTCTATGGGTTTCAGCAGCTTTAATTTACCACTGTCTGGACGCATTAAGACCTTATGAGCTAGGAGGCTTGGATTATCTCCCGCATGAGTATAGATTTAGGAAAGCTATCTATTTTTCCTGAAGTGTATTGGGGGAATCGCTGTTTTATATGCATTGGATAAATATGTAGTGTTAAGGTGACTTCTATTCCAAACAAAAATTTTGATTGTGTTCAGGTCTAGGAGGTAATGCAGGCCATAGACAGGCTGTTTATCGACAGAATTGTCGGACTATAAACGAAAAATCGATCGGTGCTGTTGCCGATGCTGCCACCAATGCTCACGAAAGGAATGGGACAAGAAACCAGTTTGACAGAGATGGGAGCACACCATACAATGTGACAGCAATACAAATACATTGTTTTTATTTGGATACATAGCGGAAGAAGAACGGAGCCGCCGTTCAGTGACACCTTTATATTCTTCTTTCTCTTATTTATTTATTTTAGGTTCTTATATAGTGCCGTCCGTTTACGCATCACTTTACATATATATTGTACATTCACATCAGTCCCTAACCCTCAAGGGGTGTACAATCTAAGATCCCTAACTTACATTCATACATACACATACTAGGGCCAATTTAGACAGGATCCAGTTAACCTACCAGCATGTTTTTGGAGTGTGGGAGGAAACCGGAGTACCCGGAGGAAACCCACGCAGGCACAGGGAGAACATGCAAACTCCAGGCAGGTGGTGCCGTGGCTGGGATTTGAACCAAGGACCCTAGTACTGCCAGGCGGAAGTGCTAACCATTTAGCCACTGTGCCCTATATATATCTCCTTCCTTCCTTCCAACATGACCGATTAAAAAAAACTGTGCGAAAAACAGCCGACCAATTAACCCACTAACAGTACGAAAATCGGCTGGTTTTTTTTTTTTTTTTTTTTTTTTTTTTTTTTTCCTGGCTGATTTTCGACCCGTCCATGGCCAGCATAAGACAGTGTCTACCATGTACCTTAGTTGGTGTGCTTAACCTTAGATTTCTATCACCGGGTGCACCTGGAGTTCCTCTACTGGTGATGTTATGCTAATTTTCTGCTTTGTGGCATAGACCTCATCTGCATATGTATTGCAGACTGTTGGGTATTTCCTAGATGAATTCTCTGTGTTTAAATGAAGATATATTGTTTTATCTTAAATCCAAACAGTGGAAAACAAAATAATGGACCGTCTCATACATCAGTGCAGTGGGATTTCGCAGCCCATTCATTTAAATGGACTGCAAATTGCACTGTTTCGCTGGACAAAGTAGTACGTGCACTACTTTTCATAAACGCACCACACCAAATCTCATGGTACTGTGGTACCCACGCAGTCTGGTGCAGGCTTTTAGATTTCTTAAGATACACTGCATTTGTGATCTGCATTCGGGGTGCCAGTAATGATTTATTGGCACCCACAGCAGACTGCAAAGGCAGTGCATTTTGAAGGCTGTGTGGGAAATGTGCACAGAACATGCCTTTCCCACACAGAGTTTTGTTGTGAACCCAGTATTAAAAGTAGACCCTCCCAGTGGATATAAAGGTCATTTCACAGGTCTTTGTCCTCAGCATAGCAAAAAAACAGTGGTTTGCCTCAAGAGCTTTACAGAGCTGTCACTCGGTCCAATTTTCAAGCTGTGGTTCGATACATCTGGATTGCCCTACTCTCCTGTCAGGATTAAGCCTTGTGGAATAGGTTCTGCAAGCAGTAGCCCCCACTTTAATGCCCCATTCACACCTGCGTGACACGTTTTTTTTTATTTGTGACATCATAGGTTAGCCCATTTACTTGAATGGCCTGCCCTACGTGCCGGAGTAGATCCTGAACCTTTTTTTGGCAGTGAGTCATTTTTGCACTGCACGTTTTGGCGTGGGACACCTGCATTTTGGGGTGCCATTAAGGAATGACACCACAATCGCGATGCGAGTTTTTCAAGTTTTTTTGCACTTTTCCAGGAACGCAGGCAGGAACATGTCTCTCTGAACTATGGTAGTTCCCTTGGGGTTGTTTCCAACTCCTGAGGTCCTTGTTCATCCCCTTGAGGTGTTATGGTAGATAACTCTGTCATTATCTCATACGAGATTGGATTGCTGTCCTAGATGCATCTGGTTCTTAGAGCATTCATTCCTGGATGCCTGGCATCAGAAGTTTAAAAGCATAATAAAGCCTCATTTCTTTTTCCCTTAAAATAACAAATGTTATATTGACCTGCTCTGTGCAATGGATTTGCATAGAGCAGCTCCTTACCACCTCTTCTGGTGAGCTGAGCTGTGTGTGTGTATATATAGACACACTGTGCATGGCTCCAACCTTTGCTCCCTCCTCACAGGATTTGATTGATAGCTGCAGGAGCCAAGAGCTCCTGCTCCCTCAGTGCCTTCAGAATCCCACTTGTGTGTATCAGAAAATAATGTTTTTATAACTGTTGCCTTTAAAATATTAGTTTTCCACATGTAAAGAATAAATTTGATGGTATACTCTGAGAACCTTGCTGCCCTCACTTTTGGTAGGATAATTTAAAGTTGGTAATGTTTAGAACATTATGGAGTTCCTTGACCCTGTATTTTTTCAATTGACAAAATGTGTGGGTGTTTGAAAACCAACAAAGCGTAGAGTGAAAATTATTCTTTTGTAAATCCGCTTCCTTATTTTTTTTTATTTTTTTTTTTTAAATCTAGGATATGGTGGTACGAGCCTTACAGCAAACAAACAGTCGTAGCATTGAAGCTGCAATCGAGTTTATGAGCTATCAAGAGCCCTATCGTGAACCACAAGTTGCTGCTGCAGCAAGACCCCTGAATGCTGGCATGAAACCTCCAGGTGGATGACAAGCTTTAATTTCTTTTTTGTGTCTCTGGACAAAGTATCAGCAATAAAATAGTGTTTTGTATCAGATGAATTATTGCTTTTCATGCATTAATAATCTGTGTTCTTGCCCGTACTCTTCTTGGCATGTGCAACAATACTAAGAACTCTGCACATGGGTTTTGACCATAGAGAACAATGCCTAGAGTGCTGAGTTTTGTACCGAAGCTCTGAGTGCCAGAGGTGATAGACATTGTGCTGACCAGTGGTTCTGGTTGTAGGGCTGTCACTCTGACACTGGATTTACTATTTAGTACGTCATTAGAGTGACCTAGAACAAGTGTGCAGATCAGTTCATGCTCTACAGATTTTGCTGGCTATAGGTGTGATCCCCCCCATGTGAACATTGAAGAAATGCCTTCCGCAAGAAGGAATGATTATGCAACCACTGCTCAAGAGGGGAGTGTAAATAACAAACTGTGTTTGTTATATGATCGTTCAGTGCATGGGAAATTTTTTTTTTTGTAAATATGGATTGTGTGTTTCCTGTGTATATTGCAGGTAATCTTATATCACACGTGCTATAATATGAAATTTCAATGCCACCAGCTGCTATAATGTAGATTTAAAGTACAGTCATTTTTACCCATGGGGTCTTAGTTCACCTTTTTTGAAAAAAAAATAATAAATGCACATATTTTTGCAGGAAAATTTAGCATTTGCTTTTTTTTTTTTTTTTTTTTTCACAGGAGCCTGCACAGTATTGCACCCATGATCAAGTGATTTGCAGGTGCAATTCCTGGCTCCTGTACACACTGCGTGCAGCTCTGTTGCCCATACCTCTTTACGGACTTTATCTTACAGAGCAGTAGACAGTGTGAATGGACTATTGGTGTGCTGATAAGGATGGTCACAGTACATTGGAAGCTATAAGGTGTGCAGGCAGAGCCCTGTACAGCCTTGTTGTTTTTCAAAATGTGATATCTGGCATTAGGAAAGGATTTCCCACCCGCTGTCACAGTGCGGGGGGATTAGGAATTGCAGGGGGCAGGTCTGAAGCATGTTACACCCTAAATATGGTTGTAACTTGCTCCAAAAGGTGGACTTATCCTTTAAGTCTATATTACACATTACAGGCATACCTCGGTTTACAAATTTAATTCGTTCTGTGGGACTTTTTGTATAGCGAAAAATTCATAAACCGAAACGCCATTTCCCATAGGAATGCATTGAAAACCAATTAATCCGGTCCTGAGGTCAGAAAAAAAGTAAACGCTGCTAAAATGCCGCATGGGTTATTTATCAAGTCATGCAGTATTTTAGTAGTGACAACCATGTGTTAATTTTTCAGCTGTCAGCGGGGTTCCCCACTGACAGCTGAATGTAAAAGAATTGCCGGCAATTTAAAAAATAAATTAAAAAATGGCGTGGGGTCCCCCCTCCCATCCATACCAAGCCCTTTGAGTCTGGTGTATGGATTTTGAGCGTTTTTAAATGTAATTACCGGTTTGTTTTTTCTTCACTATAGCTGAAAGATTCAGCTGTCGCTTTCCCCCCAGCTAAAAGAGAGTTTCTTTTTAGTTTATTTCCCCAAGTTAAAAGCAACAATGTTTGTTTCCTTTTTGTTTCTTAAAAGAAACAAAGCTTCCTTTAACTCCAGGGAAAGTGACAGCTCTGTAAGCTATAGTGAAGGAAAAAAAAAAAAAAAAGCCAGCAATTTAATTAAAAATCGGTACCGACATACACTTCGTATTGCAAAAAAATTTGTAAACTGAGGCATTATTTTCAATGGATTTTCATTCGTAAACCAAAAATTACGTTAACCAAGGCGTTTGTAAACTGAGGTACACCAGTATATGCCTTACCTGAAAATGCTAAAGACTTGTCAAGTGGCTAAAAAGGGCTTAAAGTATCTAAAGATAAGTTGTTGGTTTTTTTTTTTTTTTTTTTTTTTTTTTTATATGTTTTCCCATTTTGGAAACTACCAGCTGTTTTCAAAATGTGACAGCTGGCATGGGAAGTGAAATCCCCACCCACTGTCACAGGGAGTGGGGGGGATCAGGGGTGGGTTAATGTCAGTTTTTTGGGTTTTTTTTTTTTCATCTGTATTTTATTTTTATTACAGCTACTTGTATAGTGTTGTCAATTTATGTAGTGCTTTACATAGACATATGTACATTCACATCAGTCCCTAACTCTCAATGAGCGTACAATCTAAGGTCTCTAACTCACATTCATACATACACATTCTAGGGCCAATTTAGATAAGAGCCAATTAACCTACCAGAATGTCTTTGCGGTGTGGGATTAAACCGGAGTACCCGGAGGATACCCATGCAGGTACAGGGAGAACATGCAAACTCTGTGCAGGTATTGGTGGGGTTGGGATTCGAACCAATGACCCTAGTTACCCAGTTAGCCACTGTGATGCCCTGTATCATATTAGGAATGATTTCCCTTCATTTCCTGTCCTGTAGACTCAACAGGAAGTGAGAGAATACCTTTCCAATGTGAGGGAACCTCCCCTGTTAATTGTCACAGGACCAAGTTTCACAGTTGGAAAAGTTTCCATCCATTCCTGTTATGGTTCATTCCCAGTGAAATTGGTGATTGGTGAGTGTGTTGTGTGTTTTTGTTTTTGGTGGTCTTTTTTTTTTTTATATAGGAGCAAGAAAGATAAAGTGCAGGAGTTGTTTTATGCTGGAATACTGCACAGATCTAAAAGACATTCATAAAGAAAATGAAGATTGTACAAGGCTCTTGTATTTAAGCAATATTTGTTTAGCTCCAGTTTAAGCTGTAAATATATTTTTTAAAAATACTTGACAGTTCTAAATAAAAGCATTTTTCATTTAATATCCCATAATGTTCTGACCGTATCTGGCATGTTTTTAGTTATTTTGTTTAGCCTGCGCTTACATGCCTTTTCAGTTTACAAACCTGCTGGCTTCTATAATGTAATCTGTTAATTAAAAATAAGTGTAACCTTTTAATTTAAAATAAGTGGCCATGTCAAATTAAGAAAAAAAAACGTTTTGACAAACAACACAACATATTCACTTTAATGCCTGCGTGGGCAGAGTACAGGTTGACTTCAAGGATTTCCTATTCCCTTGCTGCTTCCAAGGTTGTGCCAGTGCATATGCTGGCATAGTTCTAATAGATGTGGCAATCATACCCATTAGTAAATGGAAGAGACTGTTAGAAACGAAAGAAGATGAAGTTCTGCTCAAAGTGCTGTTCTTATTGCCTTTGTGCATATGATTAATACATAATTTTTTTAAATTTCCCTGCTCCTGGAAAATCAGTTGGTGTCATAGGGTTTTTTGTTTGCATGTGCTTTTTTTTTTTTTTTTTTTTTTTAACTTTTTTCTTTTTTTTAATTTGTCTCTACAGGCAACATTCAGCATTCTGTGAATCGCAGACAGAGCTGGAAGGGTTCAAAGGAGTCCCTGGTTCCACAGCGACACATTTTCACCCTTGTCTGATAGTGTTATCTATGGTGGTTCAGAAATGCCTGGATCCCAGTCTGAGATGGGAAGGCCATTATCTGGATCAGGCCTTCCAGCCTTTGGTCAACAAATTCCAGTCAATGGCCAGAGAGTGAACCCACCTCCTCCACCACAAGTAAGGAGCGTTACACCTCCACCACAACCTCCACCTAGAGGAACTACTCCATCACCACAGTCTTGGGAGCCCAACTCACAAACGAAGCGTTACTCTGGTAATATGGAATTTCTTGTTTCCCGTATTTCCCCAATCCCACCTGGAGGCTGGCAAGATGGATATCCATCTTCTAATATTAACTCTGCACAGATGATGAACCCGCAGCCTCAGCCACAGAGACCTATGAATGCTGTTCCTGTTGGAAGACAACCCATTATTATGCAAACATCTGGCAACAACAAGTTTTTTTCTGGGAGAGCTGGCATTCAGAACGGTAATGGACAAACTGAATATATAACACACCAGGTTGGTAACGGTGTTGGGCGACCACAACCTCCACCTTATCCTATGTCAAATGGTCCAAGTAATACTGCACTGCAGATGCAAGGTGGTAATGTACCAATGTCCCCTTCTGCTTATAATAATGGTAATTTGCCACAGTCCGTACTCGTACCAAATAGAAATAGCCACAACATGGAGCTGTATAACATGAGTATTCCAAGTCATCCAACTTCTTGGTCTCAGTCCACCTCCACCCAGTCACCTCCCGGGAATCATGACATGCCATCATGGCAAAATAATATTCCTGTTAGGTCCAACTCTTTCAATAACCCAATGGCAGTTCGCCAAGTGCATCCTACTAATTCGCAAGCTTCTGCTACAACTGTGACTGCAATAACTCCTGCCCCTATACAGCAACCTGTAAAGAGCATGAGGGTTTTAAAGCCAGAACTTCAGACTGCACTGGCACCCGCACACCCATCATGGGTTAGCCAGAATGTACAAGGAGGGATTTACTCAGAGGGAGTGCCTCACAGCAGTCCTTTGTTGCCTACACAAACAGAAGCACCAAATTACCAAGGACCACCACCACCATACCCAAAGCACTTGCTACAGCAAAATTCTCCCAGTTATGAAACTGGACAAAAATCTAACAAAGATGATCTGTCTCCTGGAACTTCTAATTCTCAAGAAGAAGGAGATAAGGCATCTGAATCAACTGTGGAAACCACTGAGAAAGAGAAGAAACAAATAACTACATCCCCTGTGCCAGTTAGGAAGAACAAGAGAGACGAAGAAAGAAGGGAGTCTCGCATCCAGATCTACTCACCACAGGCTTTTAAGTTCTTCATGGAGCAGCATGTCGAAAATATTTTAAAATCTCACCATCAAAGACTGCACCGCAAGAAACAGCTGGAAAGCGAGATGATGCGCGTAAGAATGTCATTTTCTTATGTCTTAAAATTTTTTTTCTTTTCTTTCATTGTAGTTGTAGGAAGCCAAAATGTATTCTAATTGATAGACAACAGCAGAAGCTCCTTTCTATGCATGAAATCATAAATGTTTTTTTGACTTTATTTTAAGTGCACAGGTTTCCAGTGACATGTCCATCATGGGATGACAAATTATTCCTGTATTAGAAGTTAGTTTACATTAAAATAGAACTATAGGCAAAACCTTTTCATTTTGGATAGCGTAAGGGTTATAACCCGTCAGCTGCAGCTTTGTGGATGCATTATTATTTGGCTCTAGCAGCTGCACTGCTCTTTTTTGTGTTGGTGTCCTAGTGATACTAAACAGAGAAGTGTTAATTGGCGTAATTAACATATATAAATCATATATATCATGTATTTAAAAAAAAAAAAATCTGAGTACCTTATTCCTGCAGCGCTGTTGTGTGGTCACGTGATCTTTCCTTGTTCTATCGCATCTGCAGGGAAGGATCGTTGGGAGGGACTTTTTTTTTATTTTTTTTATTTTTTTTTATAATTGATGTATGCTTTCTACATCAGCAGAACATATCTGCAGTAGTGTCTCTGCCTGCACAGCCCTGATTGGTGCTGTGTCGGTCACATAAAATCAAAAAAAAAAAAATCCACAAGAGCAATTCAAATTACATTATAATTATAAGAAAAAATTACATCCCCCTATAAATCTTTATTGAACATCAAATGTGTATTTTTTTTAATATGGTATAAGGAGAGTCAGATGATTGAATGAGCTTTCATTTTGTTCAGATGGCATCTGCATCCAAGGCTCTTTTTTACTTTACAGGTGTTAGATATATTTTTTTAATACCATTTTATATTACCTTTTTTTTTTTTTTTAGTGGATGTAATCAATCAGTATACTATATCCCTCCTCATAGTGTTTAGCAGAAGGAGGAAGGGAGGGTTGTGTCATTTTCCGCTGTGTATACACCTACACGTGTGACCCTATAGTCACATGGCCTGCACAGATAAGAAAAAGGAATAAACAAATAGTTTAGACATGAAATGAACCTGGATAATGTTCAGTAGATGACAACAGCAGCTCTACACAATCTCGGTCTGCAGTGGGGACACAGAGAAGACTGGAAGGACAGCCAGATATATTTTACTCTACATAAAACAGATGCTTCAGTGGCTTTGTGAGTATGCACTCGTGAGTATAGCATAGGACACATAGCATGTAATGAGTTTTTCATACTCTGGGTTTAATGACACTTTAACATAAAACACAAACTTGATCTATCAGTAATATAACAGGTAATCATCAAAAATAAGATAACTTGATTGATCTCTTAAGGGAAAAGGTATTTACTTTCTTTTGTTTAGTTTGCTATTGACTTCACGATACAGTGCCTACCTACAGTTTATTTCATGTTACTTCTGTGGATATACAACTTTCCAAAAAATGAAAGTTAACTAGGAAGATATTGCGCAGTGGTGGTGGATAGTGGATATATATATTTATGTATATTTTTTTTGTAAGTCTTCCTTTGGGGCCTGATCTAATGGTGAAATGTGCCTTTCAGTAGCTAAATATCCATTTTATGAGCTTAATGCTTTCACACCCATACAATAGTAAAGTTTGTGAATGTATTGATGAGAAAATTGTTAGAGTATCGAACGCAGTGAAATTAACCACTTGCCCTCCAGAGGATTTACCCCCCTTCCTGACCAGGCCATTTTTTGCGTTATGGTGCTGTGTTACTTTAACTGACAATTGCGCAGTCATGCAACGCTGCACCCAAATTAAATTTACGTACTTTTTTTTTTTTTCCCCATGAATTGAGCTTTCTTTCAGTGGTATGTGATCACCTGTGTGTTGTTTTTTTTTTTTTGTTTTTTTTGTTTTTTTTTTTAAATTTTGTGCACTATTAAAAAAAAAAAAAAAAAAAAAAGAAGACAATTTTGAGAAAAAAATGTTTTTGACTTTTTGCTATTGAACATATTCAGTAAAAAAAAAAAATAAAAAAAATCAAATTTCGTCATAAATTTAGGTCAAAATGTATTCTGCTACATGTCTTTGCTAAAAAAAAATACCAGTAAGTGTAAATTAATTGATTTACGTGAAAGTTATAGCGTTTAAAAATGGCGGTATAGATACTGGAATTTATTTTTTACTAGTAATGGCAGCGATCAACGATTTATAGTGGGATTTGCGGCTGGCATTCTGACACGACTGACATGGTGACACTGACATCCCCAGTGACCCCAATACAGTGATCAGTGCTAAAAAAAAAAAAAAAGCACTGACACTACTAATGGCACTGGGTAGGAAGGGGTTAACATAAGGGGCGATCAAAGGGTTAACTGTGTGCTGGGTGTGTTTTACTATGGGGCCTTGTGTTTTGTGCTTCACTGTAATCACACTGCTTTGCATGGCTGTGCTATGCACAGCCATGCAAAGCAGTGTGCATGAGCTGACAGAGAGGAGAACTGTTTTGTTTACAAACCGTTCTCCTCCCCATCGGAGATGCTGGGCAATCACCAGATGCCGGCGAGTAATCACCGGCCGGGACCCGGTGATTGACCGCCGTGGCCGTGAATGGCGACGCAGGTAGGGAGCGTACCCCCTACCCGGAAATGCGAAATCACGTATATATACATGATTTTGCGCATCCGTGCCGCCCTGTAGCAGTGTATCTGCTATAGGGTAGTCGGGAAGCAGTTAACTAGTATATCTTATTAACCACTTGCCTACTGGGCACTTTTAACCTTTTCCTGCCCAGGCCAATTGTCAGCTTTCAGTGCTGTCACACTTTGAATGACAATTGTGAAGTCATACAACACTGTACCCATATGAAGTTTTGATCTTTTTTTTTATTCACATCAACAGAACTTTCTATTGGAAGTATTTAATCAACACTGGGGGTGTTAATTTTTTGCTAATCAAACGAAAAAAGACCAAACATTTTGGAAAAAAAAGTTTTTCTTAGTTTGTTATAAAATTTTGCAAACAGAATTTTTCTCCACTGACACACTGATGTGTGCTGACGAGGCGGCACTGATTATCAGTGTAGATGTCCCCTTTCACACTTGCTGGTTACCAGCATTCCTCTCCTCACCCTGTGACAGCGTGAAGACAGGAAAAGCCAATAACTGGCAAGTGTGTTTACATCGTGATCAGCTGTGATTGGACACAGCTGATCATGTGTTAAAGGGCCTCTGTGTTTGACTCTTCCTCTCTTTGTGATCAGCTGTGCCCGAAAGACACAGCAATTGCAAAGCGCATTGCAGGGGGCATGGTTCTGGGAGGACGTCAATAGGCTCTCTCCCAGAACTGGATGACTGCGCTGTAGCCGTCATTCGGCTATAGTGCATTTGGCAAGTGGTTAAACTGACCTTTTTACACTTTGGTGTATCAGACCTAAAGCTGGCCATAGATGCAAAAGAATAAGGCGTACTGGGCAATACCATCAAAACTCTTTATTAAAAAAAAAAAAACAAATGCCAATGTACTCACCGAAGTAAACAATCAAGTGCATGTAACAGGTCTAGTCCCAACACAGGAAATATGTAGATACTACTGCATAGCTAGCTTTAGGCTTGCTTTACTTTACACTTGAGTAAATCAGGTCTGTTGATATTAAAATCTATTTATGCTGTAATTTATCAAGGATTATTTACAGGAGCCAACCTAGGGATACTGAAAGACAGTCTTGAAAATGTCTTATTATTCAGTGTGAAGTGTGTGTGTTAGTGTTATACATTATAGTACATAGGGTGACGTATTCTGGAACCAGTGTGTTATACAGCAACCTTCAGGAGAATTGGACACTGGCAAAAAAAACCCTGTAAGGACAGCCCAAGATAGCCCCTCCCGCTCAGAGCATGCCTTTGTTTTTAGCTGGTCTTCTTAGGAGAATGGACATCTTCTCTTGGCTCTGAGGGAGGCAAATCCTGTTCACTTTTTATTAGGTCAATTGTTTTTTTTTTCTTCTATCATGATTTAGTTGCTGCACAGCCACTTGGTGTTGGTTTGATGGATCATGCTGTCAGGAAAAAGATGCAGGGCCAGCCTGAAGGATAATAGATGCAGGGGGTGCAGCCCTGGGGTTCCTGCTGGCTCATGTTCAGCTCTAAACACACAGAGCTATGGCAGAGTTTTCCTTAAGGGTCCTGACAGTGCCAGTCTGGTCCACAGCTCTCCTCAGGGGCTTTCTTGACCCCTTTTTGGGGGGGGAGTGCGGCTGCATTGCCCTTGTTTTGAGATTGGGAGGACTCCTACCTTTCACCAGAGCCTTTGAACCTCTAGTAGCAGCTGTTGTTTGCCATTCAGAGATGGAAGATGAGGGTTGTGCTTTGTCAAGTCCTGATGATTCAGCACATAAACAGTCAGAGTACTGACACATCTTCAAAGCTTAAGGACATCAATGTGTATGTGTGTTGACTTAGATCTGCCTGCTTTGAGCTTTCCAAAGGTCACCAGCCTCAGCTTTCTAAAAAAAATACCTACTAAAGCGACTCCTGTATGGTGACTGGCCCCAACCTGAAAAGATCTTCACTCCTCCCAAAGAGTTTTGATCACTAGTGTCGTATTGAACAGTGTTTTTTAAATTATTGTAAAAAAAAGTGGGGGGGGGGGGGCATCCCTGTTGTAGACCCAGTCATTTTTGTCATAACAGGCATTAACTATCCCTGTTGAGTGAGGATATTCCGGTGTTCAAGGAAACCTTTGATGAACTTTAAGGCCTGTTGCACACTGGAGTAAAAAATGCTGAGCTTTTTACTGATCTGAAATGAGATGCATTGTTGTCTATGGAACATTGCACACAGCTGAGTAAAGATCAGTAATACAGCATTGAGTACAGAGCAGTAAAACAAAAATAGAAAAGTTTTTTCATTTGAGTGCAGTAATTTACTCAATTCGCTCAGGCCCCTTGCACACGAGTGTCCTAATTTATTGATGTTTGCTTGTGTACAAGGGGCCCCAACACTTGGAATGAAGAATTTTACTTGTCTATACTCATCTGTACACTTACATACTTTTACTTGCCTATTACTCAGGTCTTTACAAACAGTTTTTGGACCCTTGCACACGGGCATCACAAGTTCCTGAGTAAACATCAGTAAATTTATAAAGTCCGTGTGCAAGGGGTCTTGGAAGCCCTTTTTAAAGCTCTGTTCGCCCTGTTATTGCAACCATGTCCATCCACCAACCTGTCTAGTCTAAGACCATATCTCTGTGTCCTGGTTCTATGTGACTTCTTCTGTCATCTGACATCTGGAGCTCCTACCTGCAGCCCTGTTCTATGCATATCATTTGAATCTTCTGTCCTGTGGACCGGGTTACTACCCTGCTTCTCGGTTGCTGACTTTAATGGCTTGGGTATTGAAGGCCAGGTCCTGAGGGATAGGGGCCTACCTGATTCAGTTATCCCTATGATCTTAAAAGCTATCTAGTCCACTTCTTCCAGTCCACCATTGCATCTGGAAAGCATATTTCTCAGGGTGTGAGGCAAGAAAAAAATCATCCCAGAAAGTACTTGGTAGGATGCTTCCTGTCTTTTCTCCAGTCTGGTCTGGATCAACATTTGGCCTTGAGTACTATCCAGGGCATATTTCAGTCCTAGTGATTCACTTTCAGAGACTGCTTTATCCTCACCCCCTTGTGAATGCCTTTGTGCAGGGTGTTGGTGACATTGTTCCTTTTGTTCACTTCCCACTAACTTTTATGGGATCTCAACCTGGTTCTGTCAGCTGTTCAAACCTATTAGGGATATTTCTCGGTCTGTCCTTTATCTCAAGTTAGCCTTTCTTGTTGCCACCAGTTCTGTGAGGTGACTGAGTTGGTGGTCCTAACCTGTAAAGAACTCTTTCTTGTACTACACATGGACAGTGTTGTTTTGCGATCTAGGGCCTCTTTTCACCCCAAAGTGGTTTCTTCCTTTCACCTTAACGAGAACCTTGTTCTATCTTCTACAGCTGTTCCTACCCCCTCCCCAGCCTGGCACTCTAGTGAGCACTGAAGGGGCAGTGCAGAGAGTGGTAACTGACAGTCACCACTGTGCTGCGCGAACACTGAGAACTGAGCAATCAACGGTCATGTGGTCTCTGAGTTCTCGGGCTTTGAACCGACGAGGGACAACTGCAGCATCAGATTTAATCTGCAGCATCGAGGTGAATATAGATGTTTGCTTTTTTTTTTTATTCCCATACTTCTCCTTTGTTTTCCAGGATGGTCTGTACACTTCCTTGTTAATCTGGTTGTTCTTTGTGGGCCTCTTCACTTTGATGTTTCCCATTCCTCAGTTGGGCAGCTTTTGGACAGCCTATTAGTTCTAGAATACTTCATCCTGTGTCCTGTAATTTTACAATTGAGAAAATAAGATTTTGTTTTGCCAGTGAAATCCTTTTCTTGGGGTACATTTACAAGGCACAGTTCTTCTTCCCTCTGTTCTTATGAACCACTCCTATCATTGCTTGCTACTAAACCAAGGCATACTGAGAGCAGGAGGGCTTATGCTGGGCTGTCCTTACTGCTCTGTGTGCCAGTATACAAATCTCCTGAAGGTAAAAGTATAACCCATTGGTTCCCAAATACCTCATCCTGGGTCCTGTAATGTACTCCAAGAAAAGTATTTTACAGGTAAGACAAAAATACTATCTTTTTCCAAAATAAATTTCTGTGATCAGGTTAATTTTTGTGATTAGTTAGAATCTAACGTTCTTGGCCTTTTATGAGGCAATATTTTGTTATGCAAATATGCTTTTCAGCAAATCATTGGGTATATATTTAAAGGAATCTTAGCCTTTGCGTTATATTTTATTTGCTGATTTCACTACGTTTCCTCCTCAATCTATTTCTTCTCTTAGCTTTTCTATCTTTCTTCCTTTTTCCCTACTCACTAACAGATTTAAACAGTTAAGGTTGGAGCTTGGCTGAGCTCTTCAAACCTCCATTACTGGGTAGGCAAGTAAATGTCAGCGCCATGGTGCTGTGTTAACAATGGCATGATCCTTTTAGGCCACTGCATGTTATTAAAAATAAGCATGAGGTTGTCATGAAATTCTGCACAATTGACTAACAGACTGAAGGCTTGATATATATATATTTAAGCTTGTGAGTACACATTTTATTTTGCAAAACCATGTAACTACTTATTTTTATGTCTGCATCTGTAAAATGTATAAAATGTGTTTTTTTGGGTTTTTTTTTTTCACCTATTCCCATTTCAGTTTGTTTTGAATATTTGTATAATATGACTAAGCTATGCTTGACATTGTTTTCTCAAAGCTGGGCAACATGTGGTCTATCATGAGGCCAAGTATGTTTGTTACAGAAACCTTTTGTTATCTTCTCAAAGATAATTAATGAAGGAAGCTTTATGAACATTTCAGAAATTCATGTAGCACAGTAAATTTCAATTTTTGCATGCCCATTGTAAGATGGCTTAATAATATTGTTTTGCAGTGGTTCACTTGTGAATATCAACCATTTTCCCTTAGGGCCGATGTCAATGGACTTCAGTGGGTAAATGCAGCTTTCTTTTGATATAGCTCAGGGATTTTGGACTCCTATCTCCTGGCGCCCGGGACATGTAGTTCGGGCACCGGGCAGGTAGTTTCTTTTCTACCTTTAGCCCTGCGGGGAAGCAGCAGGACTCTCCTGACAGGTGTAAGCATTCGGTGGTGGCACCACACAGTGCCAGCCTCTCCACGCACCAATGCGATGTGCACCACATTACATTCAGTGGAGCAGAGGGGAGATATCCAGGGTCTTTTAGACCTTAGATGTCTCAAGACCTTTCACCAAAATTTTTTTTTTTTTAATTGTAAAAAATGACAGTTACACCCAAGCACATACCATTTCCCCCCCCCCAAAAAAAAATAGAGGCCCCCCACATATACGCACTTACAAACGTAAAAGAACATGCTGGGGTGCTTAAGCATGAAACCGTCCATTGCAATACCCATGTTGCATATCCCCACGCACGCCAGAATGAAAGCAATAATTCTAGTACCAGACCTCCTCCTTAATACTAAACTGGTGACCTATAAGGAGCTTTGAAAGTGTCGACCTATAGAAAATATAGGGTACTGAACTTCATCTCCACAAATTTAAGGTTTGACAAGTTGGATATCTTTTTACTCACTGCAACCTCATCTTTTATATTTTACAAAAAATAGGGTAACTTATTGCTTTTTTGTGCCGTAAAATTAACATTTTGTATTTTTACTAAAATGTTGCGGTAAAATCATGCAACATAAAAAATTGGAAATACTATTATTTTATTCTCTAGAGTCTCTGCTTTCAGAAAATATATAATGTTTGGGGGTTTTTTGTGTAATCTTCAGGCCTAAAATTATTTTTAAACATGTCCAAAAATCGTCTCTGGCTACGAAAGGGATAAAGTATAAGCCATGACCCACCCTTTCCTGACGAGCAGCCAATTGTTGTTCATCACACTGCAAGGTCTCCCCCCCCTCCTTGCTAGTCCCCGGGTGCGATGCTGGAGGGAGGCAGGGAGGGGAGGAAGGAGATAAATGTGTAATATTTAACATTGTGCTGTAGTTTTTTCAAAAATTTCCACACCCCTGAAGCTGCTTTGTTTTTCTAAAGAGTTGGATGGAAAGCTGTTGTGAAGCCAGCAAAAGTCAGTTGACATTGGCCTTTAAATTTACAGAAAAAAATGTTATAACATTGAAGACTATTTTGGATTTAATACTAACTTTCACAATGACTTTTGTGACAAACATGCTCTGCATCATCACTGTTACCAAACACCCAGTGCTATAATCTATGAAACGTGAAAAGAGACAGATAACTTTGTAGTGGCATGGGCATTCCAACATGTCCAGACCTTATTAAACCTAGGAAGGTCTTGCTGGAATGTGTTATCTTACAATATTGTTTTCCATTAGGTGGGGCTGTCAACAGATGCTCAAGACCAAATGAGAAAGATGCTATGTCAGAAGGAATCTAACTACATCCGACTTAAGAGAGCCAAAATGGATAAATCCATGTTTGTAAAGATCAAGACTCTTGGTATTGGTGCCTTCGGAGAAGTGTGTCTAGCCAAAAAAATTGATACCAATGCTTTGTATGCAATGAAAACCTTAAGGAAAAAAGATGTCCTATTGCGCAACCAGGTAGCCCATGTCAAGGCTGAAAGAGACATCTTGGCGGAGGCAGACAATGAGTGGGTAGTACGACTGTACTATTCTTTCCAAGACAGAGACAACTTGTACTTTGTTATGGATTACATTCCAGGTGGAGACATGATGAGCCTTCTGATTCGTAAGGAAGTATTTCCTGATGATTTGGCCCGATTCTACATAGCAGAGCTCACATGCGCAGTTGAGAGCGTTCATAAGATGGGCTTTATTCATCGTGACATTAAGCCTGACAACATCCTTATTGATAGAGATGGCCACATAAAACTCACTGATTTTGGTTTGTGTACTGGTTTTCGGTGGACCCATGATTCAAAATATTATCAAAGTGGTAAGCATTGATGCAAATTTTTTTTTTTTTTAATAAGCTCACCCCTGCTGCAGTATTTAGTGAAAGGAAAAACCGAGTATTCAATAAAATAAGAGCACCAACAACTAGAAACAGTTCTCTTGATACTTCTCTATTGGTGCTGTTAAATTACTGAAGAAAAAAAAGAGGAAAGTGCAGTGTAAAAAATATATACAGCAATTATTAGAGTTGTTGGAATAAAAAGATGAAATGGCATAAAATAGTAATGAGAGGCTTAACATAGAACTAAAGGCAAAACTTTTTTTTCGTTTTTTTAATTTTGGCTAGAGTAAGTTTTTAACACCTGACTTTTTTTTTTTTTTTTTTTTTTTTTTTTTTTTACCCATTTGTGTCGCAATGGGGAGATCCCTTTGCTCCTGTCTCAAAGCCAACACAGGAAGTGAGAGTAAAAAAAATTAGATTGGCAGATGAGTCATAATGTTATAGTCAAGTTAAAGTGTTACTAAACCCAGGACCCCACATTCACTATATCTGGTCTCCCACTGCACACACAACATGGAAATGCAATTATTTTAGTACAAATAACCTGCTAAATACCTTTTCTCATCAGCAGTATATAGCAGTCTTGTGACTTCTATCATTGTCCAGCTGAGCACTGGTTAAAGCTTGGAGGAGGAGTTTTCATTCTGCTCTGACTGTCCTATGAGCCTGCATAACCCCTGACTCTCTGTGTGGACAGTGCTGATTGACCCTGTGCTGATCACATGCTTCCTTCCAAAGGAGAAAAAACTCCCTAGCAATACACACTAAACAAAGCATGTGCAGAGTGAGTGCTAGATCTCTGTACTATCAGCAGATGGATTGAGGAGAGTAGAAGAAGGGGAGGATCAGAGAAGACAGGATCAAACTGCCTTTTTTCACAATGCGGAATATTAACCTCTTAGGTTCTACAGTGAGTATAACAAGCATGCTTTACTACATATACAGAGCCTGGTTTTACTTTTGTGGGTTTAGTAACACTTTTAACTAATGCTGTCATATATAGTCTGAGAATTTAGGCATATGTGACCTCTGATCATTAAATAGGCACTGAAAATGAAGTGCTTGTCTTTTCTTACATAATCCTTGCTAAGAAGGGAAGTTGATAGGTAGGTACATACTGTGAAACACAACCAGGTGTAAAACATGATATAGTATAGGTTCCATGGGGAGATCACTTATTCAAGATAAGTTGACCAATCACTAATGTCACAATAATCTAGCTAGGGTTGCTATGTTGTTCTGCGTTTAAATGTTTTTGATTTTTATTGTATACTTAATCCTTTTTTTTTTTTTTATAAATTTAAATCGCTGCAAGCAATGGCAGTTCGCTGAATCAAGTGATAGGTGGCATACATTGTGTCCTAAAATGGTATAGCACAATGTAAAAAGAAGGCTTTTGTGTATACATTTTTAAATTATTACAGTAAATCTTTTTCGCCATCCAGGTCTTTTACAGCTAAAACTGGCATCTTTGCTGAAAAAGTATAATTCAGTGTTAACTGTTTTTTTTTTTTTTTTTTTTTTTTTTTTTTTTTTTTTTGCTCAGGTGACCACCTACGACAAGACAGCATGGATTTTAGCAATGAATGGGGAGATCCAACAAATTGCCATTGTGGTGACAGGCCGAAACCTCTTGAGTGGCGTGCAGCAAGACAGCATCAGCGGTGCTTAGCTCATTCTCTTGTTGGGACCCCGAATTACATTGCACCAGAGGTTCTATTGCGTACAGGTATGGAATATTTACACTCGTTTAGAAAAGTGGAAACCTAACCTCCATTTCTGTGTATACTTTTGCTTTAACCATTGAAATAATATATCTCTAACTGAAATCTGTAGCTGGTGCAATATTGCTCTTAGTCTCTTATCCCTCCACCTTTTTTTCTGCATCCAGTAACAGATACCTTTTTGTTATTGTATAAATAGCAGCAATTTTCATTGAGTTAATGTGTAAAGTTGATGTCTTTCTGTGATTGCCGCTTCAACCAAAGTCTCAGTGGTTATTTCCTTCTTATTGTAGGATATACACAGCTTTGTGATTGGTGGAGCGTGGGAGTTATACTTTATGAAATGCTTGTTGGCAAAGCTCCTTTTCATGCAAGCTCACCACTGGAAACGCAAATGAAAGTAAGTTGTAGTGCAACCAGGGTACTGAATGAAATGTAAAACACAAAATCTGGTGCAACTGTGCATGCAGCCAGTCAGCTTCTATTTTCAGCTTATTCAGTTAAAGTAGATTTCTAGTCAAATACTAACTATACCTTAACCTGTTTCCACCCCCATTCTAAGCCTATTCTACCTACCCTGTAAAGAAAAGATGTCTAAACTGACCTATTTTAAAGGCATAGTCACATGATCTCTCCAGCAACCGGCTTCAATAAAGAGGAGCAATTGCCGTCATTGACTGCAGAGCCTGGGTAACAACATCACTCATAGACTTACTATGGGGCATCTGTTGGCTGCCCTGCCTCTACACTGAAGCCGACCATGTGACTGGAGCGCTTTCTGAATAGGTAAGTATAGGCATCTGTCATTTAGAGGGGAGTTAGGCTAGGCTCGGAACAGGGGTGGGAGCAGGTTTAGGTAAAGTTAGATTTGACTGGAATTCTACTTTATTCTTTGAAAAAAAAAAAAAATAACAAGATAGAAGCTGGTTGCTATGCACAGCTGCTCAAGATTCTGGTTGTCCCTGTTTTGATAAATTCCCCTCACTGTAGTTTACATTTCATATTCTTGATGTCTGCACTCTCTATGTTGGGCTGTATGACCTACTCCTGACCACTGCACTACAAATACATTACTGTACTACAGTGCAGTGGTCAGGAGTGTGTAACATGCTGGCCACAGAATAAAACCAAAATTACCCCTTCTTCCCAGTACAAATCATCATCCCCCCCCAAGCACAGAAGACATCTTCCAATCTTCCAGCCAGCACATACCCCTCGGTACAGACGGTACAGACCCCCCCCCCCCTTTTTTTCAGTATATACCTCTTACTCAGTTTAGACACAAGCCCCCTCACCATCAGTTCAGAAACTTCACCCCCTCCTTTCCCAATATAGACACCATCCCCCACATCTTCCTCTAAGTACTGAATACTCAGTACTTTACTGACATCCTGTTTCCTGGTACAGATATCTCCGTATAGATCTCTTCAAAGACCAGATGTAGCAGCAGTGCAGAGTGAAGGGAATTCCTCCCCTGGGCTCTGTCATATGACCAAAGCAGGGAAGGAGACTTCTCCTCACTCTGAATTGCTGCTGTCACAGAAGCACCAGGTGTAGACTCTGATGGTGCTATGTACAGTACCATTTTATATTTCTCAGTACAAATCTCCCTAAAGACCAAATGTAGCAGCAGTGCAGAGTTGAGGGGAAGTCCTCCCCTATGCTCAATCATGAGACTAAAACAGGGAAAGGAGACTTCCCCTCATAATGAACTACCACTGTTGCGGAAGCTCCGAGTGCGGATTCTTTGACAGTGACGTATACAGTACCATTCATACGAAAGATTATTCACAAGTTTTTCAAACATGGTCTTATGTCTATGGGTATCCTTAGCTGAGAGGATTTTTTATTGCTTGTGTTTATTGCATTTCAAAATCAAAAAAGAAAAATTAATTGGACTTAAAGTCAAGGTATGGATATTTTTACATGGCTGCACGGGTCCAGCTTGAACCAGTGTAACTATGCATATGACATACCTTGCTGATCCTCTTAGATGCTGGAAACCACTGTAGAGGGGCAAGAGTACTACAGTGCTCTCCACTAGCTTCTGGGTCCAAGGGAGGTACCCTGCTGCTTTCGGAACACAGGAGATTGCCTACACAACACAATCACGATTCAGAGAATATTTTGCATGATCTTAATGAATGCAAAGCATTGCGCTAATTAAGGGAGGTGTGAAGATTGTGATGTCACGGCCCCACCTCCCAACTTCGTTCAATCAGAAAACGCTATGCATTCTGTAAAAATATTTGAATGAATATTTTGTAAAATGACAATTATGTAAGTTTTTTTTTTACTGGTGTTATTTTTCCTTCTTGATTTTGACGTTACTCTTAAAGTAATTGCTATTAAAGCACACCATGAACTGGTAACATGGGTGAGTCAAGCACGGATTGCTGCCATAACACATTTTGGAACCCTTCAAAGATAGAAATATAGAAGCTATCAACTTCCTTCTGAAATACTAGTTGCCTGAATGTGCCTATCTTCAATACTTTGAGTTACTGACCTGGAGCAAGTATGCAGATTAGAAATTTCAGAATGCAGACCTCTTAATCTGCGTAATTGGTTTATGGTACTGAGACCATTCGACCAGCTTTGTAGACAGGCAAATAGCATGTTCAGATGGATCACCAATGTCCGCATAGTACAGCATAATTCTTTTAATGCAGTGTGTTCTGTTTTCGGCCTAATGCAAAATGTTTTTGTTTTTTTAGGTAATCAAGTGGCAGACAACATTACACATTCCCCCTCAAGCTAATCTGTCTCCAGAAGCTTCTGATCTAATTGTCAAACTGTGCCGAGGCCCTGAAGATCGCTTGGGTAAGAATGGGGTTGAGGAGATTAAAGCTCATCCATTTTTCAAGACAATAAACTTTTCTAGTGACTTGCGTCAGCAGCCTGCTTTGTATATTCCCACCATAACACACTCTACGGACACTTCCAACTTTGACCCAGTAGATCCAGACAAACTCTGGAATGATGAAGACAAAGATGGAAATAAAAATGATACTCTAAATGGGTGGTACAAAAATGGCAAACACCCTGAACATGCATTCTATGAGTTCACTTTCAGGAGGTTTTTTGATGATAACGGACACCCATACAACTACCCCAAGCCTTTTGAAAACGATTATGATGACACAAAGGACGATGGCTACAAGCAGACTGATACTGAAGAAAGTAATAATATTGGGAAGAGGCCACCAAACAGGGATTTAGTTTATGTATAGAGTCAACACCTACATTCATAAAGTCTTTCAAATCCTGTGGTTTGTTTTGAAAGACATCTATAAGTAGCCGGATTTTGCTACATTGGAAGCCTCAGAAAACACAAATCTGTGTTTTGAGTGCAGTGCTAGTGGTGAATTCAAACTTCAGTGAGAGACATAATTACGCAGGAGTTGTTAATGCTCATTGCTGAAAACCAATGCTGGAGTTTATGGCCACTGACTTAAAAACTAGAAGAGGACTTTTTTCTTATCCGAGCACCTTGTTTTTACTTTTTTGTGCTTTTCAGATTACTTTTTTCTTTCTTTTATTGGGCACACAGTAGAGTTATTAATGGACTGGAAAGTCTAACTTAATTTTAAACTGCAAAGGTACACATTTGCAAGACAATGATGGACATTTTATGTAAAAAAAAAAGTTACAGTAAAGCCTCGTAACAGCTATATATCAATCCTATTTATGTAATTGCAATATTTATAAAGCATCGTAAAGAATATTTGAATTGATATGTTAGATGTGGATCTTCTAAGAACATTGAAAGATGAGGCAGTAAGATATTTCTGGTCATTATGGTTAAACACAACACTAATTTCTACCAACAGAATTGATTAGAGGTAGATACATTTAAAGTCCACCCAAGACTGATATTTGGGCATTTGCCCCCTCCCTGCATTTTGAAGTAAAGTAAGCTAGCAACTAGTGCTGAATAAATCTTGTGGTCTAAAACCAAGATGACAGTGGCTTTAAAATGTAAGTTCACCTCTAGCTTAGCCACTGCAACTAAAAAAGGAGTGCAGCTTGTACAAGCTGGAGCTGCTGCAAGAGGATGCACACTTGTAGCCCCCAGCCTGTCCTGCAAACAGGACAGAGGGGCATTTGTAGGAAGGCATGAGTTTCATGTACAGGTAGGTCCATATATATTTGGACACAGGCACAATTTTAGTTTTTTCTCAGGTATTTACCAAAACATATTCAAGCTATAGTTCTATAATGGATATGGGCTAAAAGTGCGCACTCAAGTTTTATTTGTGGGTATGTACATCCAAATTGGAGGAAGGGTTTAGAAATTACAGCTCTTAAGAGTAGCCATTTCCCCTTTTTCAAGGGACCAAAAGTAATTGGACAATTGAATCAAAAGCTGTTTTATGGCCAGGTGTGGGCTACTCCTTTGTTATTTCTTCATCAGTTAAGCAGGTAAAAGGTCTGGAGTTGATTCTAAGTATGGTATTTGCATTTGGAATCTATTGCTGTGAACCTACATTATGCGTTCAAAGGAGCTCTCGATGCAAGTGAAACAGGCCATTGTAAGGCTTCAAAAAAACAAAACAAATCCATCAGAGAGATCGCAGCAATATTAGGAGTGGCCAAATCAACAGTTTGGTACATTCTGAGGAAAGAAAGAACGCACTGGTGAGCTCAGAAAGATAAAAAGGCATGGACATCCATGGAAAACACAGTGGTGGATGATCGCAGTATCCTCTCTTGTGAAGAAAACCCATTCACAGCATCCAGACAAGTGAAGGACACTCTCCAGGAGGTGGGCGTATAATTGTCAAAGTCTACAATCAAGAGCAGACTTCATGAGAGCAAATACAGAGGTTCACCACAAGGTACAAACCATTTATAAGCTTGAAGAATAGAAAAGCTGATTAGACTTTGCCAAAAAACATATAAGAATGCCAGGCCAGTTCTGGAAAAGCATTCTTTGGATGGATGAAACTAAGATTAATCTGTACCAGAATGACGGGAAGAAAAAACTGGAGAAGGCTTGGAACAGCTCATGATCCAAAGCACACAACGTCATCTTTAAAAAATGGAGGAGGCAGTGTGATGGCATTAGCATGCATGGCTTCCAGTGGCACTGGGTCATTGGTGTTTATTGATGTGACAGAAGACAGAAGCAGCCAGATGAATTCTGCAGTGTTTAGAGATATACTGCATTGACTCCTGCTGTTCTTCTCTGGGTAACTGCATTTATCTCCTATCCACTCTTAACCAGACAAGCGCATTGACTCCTGCTGTTCTTCTTGGGTAACTGCATTTATCTCCTACCTCCACTCTTAACCAGACAAACGCATTGACTCCTGTTAAATTCTGAACAAATGTTGTAATTATATCTGTGTATCTGTTGACTTGTCCTCACCTCTAGGCGCACTCAGGTTTATGACTGTGGCCTGGTTCCTAAGAAACATCCCCCACTATTCATGTGAGCCTTATCAGCTTCTAATTGGGGCGGAGTTGAATGCTCATTTGAGCATCTCCCTATAAATTTAGTTCACCTCATGGGGGAGATCTCTGATGGGGGGCACAGTCTCTGATGGGGGTGCTGCTTATGATGGAGTGCGGCTTTGAATGAGTGCGAGCAGTTAAACACAGCAGTTGAACTAAAGCAGGAGAACTTAAGCAGCAGGAAGACACAACAACAGCAAGAAACTCTACTGCATGCTGGGCAGACTGCAAGGAAACATCTTTTACATACCTGAGTCCCACTCCATGTACCTTTTTTATATAATACACCCCTCTTTCCTCCTCTTCATATTACTATCCTCTGTTCCCAAATCTCATTTCTTTACCCCTCTGCTCCACCCCAAAACTTGTACATCTCCCCCTCATTGCTATCATCTCCCTACTATTGCTTTCATCACCTCCCCAAATGCCTCTTCCACTCCTCCTTCTCATTTTCCTCTCCTCTGTTCCCAAAATCCATTCACTATATCCCTCTGCTCCTCCCAAACATTTGTATATTGTGTCCTCACTGCTTCCCTCACCCCTCTATGGCACCCACCACCTCCTCCTATTACTCCACTCTCCCACTGACCCAAACACCTCCACTAGTAGTTTCTCACGCTCCTGCACATCCCGCTCCCATGCCACCTTTCTCACCCTTCTCCTCCTCATAACCGCGGGGGACATCTCCCTGAATGCTGGCCCTCCACCACCTCCCTCACCCGCACAAAACCCTCCCGCCTCCACGTCCTGCCGCAACCCCGGCAACTTAGTATCTGTCCCCCTGCTCCCTAAAATCTCCCCCCAGTTTTCATGTGCACTCCTGAACGCCCGAACGGTGTGCAACAAGCTTACCGCCATCCACGACCTCTTTGTTTCCCGCTCCCTCAACCTCCTGGCGATTACGGAAACCTGGATCCAGCCCACTGACTCTACCTCCCCTGCTGCACTCTCCTACGGAGGTCTCACCTGGACCCACTCACCCAGGCCCAACGGTCGTAAAGGTGGTGGGGTTGGCCTGCTCCTGTCACCGCTGAGCACCTTCCGAGTCCTCCCAAACCCCCCCTCCCTATCCTTCTCCTCCTTCGAGGCCCACTGCGTCCGACTATTCTCCCCAACCCCCCTGAAGATTGCTGTGATATACGGCCTCCTGGATCCATACCCGCTTCCTGGAAGACTTCTCCTCCTGGCTACCCTTCTTCCTCTCCTCAGAGCTACCCACTATCATCCTTGGGGACTTCAACATCCTGTCAACGTCGACAACCCGGACACAGCCCGTCTCCTCCACTTAACCTCCTCCTTTGCACTTGCACAGTGCATACAATCCACCACCCACTCCGACGGTAATATCCTTGATCTTGTCTTCTCCAACCGCTGCGCTCCCCACAACCTCACTAACACCCCCTTCCCTCTCTGACCACAACCTGATTACCTTCTCTATCTCCTCATCCTCCAACGCCTACCCCTCCAAATGTCACACTTCTACCAGCCGTAACCTCCGCAACCTTAACCCTGCCTCCCTCCACTCCGCAGCTGATCAACTCCATGACCGCATCCTCCCCCTGTCCTGCCCCGACTTGGCTATGACCGCCTACAACAATGCGGTGTCAACAGCCCTTGACTCACTAGCGCCTTTAACCACACGCAACATCAGACCCCGACCGCTCCAGCCCTGGCAGACTGATCACACCAAAACCCTCAAACGACACAGTCGTGCCCTGGAGCGACTATGGCGCAAAACCAAATCCCAACAAGCCTTCACCCGCTACAAATCTGCCTTCCACACCTACACCTCCTCCCTCCATACTGCCAAACAAGCCTACTTCCTGACCCTCATCAAGGCCCTCTCCTCCAATCCTCGCCGACTCTTCTCCACCTTCAACTCTCTACTCTCGCCCCCCCCACCTCCACCCAGCACCTCACTCACTGCCCTTGAGATTGCCAATCACTTCAAAAACAAGATTGACACAATTCGCAAGGACATTGCCGCAACTCACACGCCTTCTCAACCCGTCCCCTTTCACACAGCTACCCCCTCCCCCCCCCTCCCGACTCGACATAACCCACAGGGACTTCGTCGCTGCTCAAACTCCCTCCAACCCCCTTCCCCCTCACTCAGCTACCCCCTCTTCACCCCTCTCCCACGGCCCCACCACTGCTCTGACCTCCTCTCCCACCCCACCCTACATTCCTCATACTGAAGCTCCCCCAACACTCCGCACCTTTGACCTTACTACCATCGAAGAAGTCTCCAAGATCCTCTCTGATGCCCGCCTCACCACCTGCCCCTTCGACCCTATCCCCTCACAACTCCTACAACCTCCCTCCCCCTCCATCCTACGCTCCCTCACCCACATCTTCAATCTCTCCCTCTCCTCCGGCACTTTCCCTTCCCCTCTGAAACATGCACACATCACCCCCATACTTAAAAAGCCCTCCCTGGACCCCAATGACCCGAACAACCTGAGACCCATCTCCCTGCTCCCATTTACATCTAAACTCCTCGAGCGCCTAGTCTACGCCCGCCTATGCTCTCACCTCAACGACAACCACCTCCTCGATCCCCTACAGTCCGGCTTCCGTCCCCTACACTCCACCGAAACTGCCTTACTCAAACTCTCCAACGACCTGCTAACCGCCAAAGCTAATGGCCACTATTCAGTGCTCCTACTCCTTGACCTCTCTGCGGCCTTTGACACAGTCGACCACCCCCTCCTCCTCAAAAAACTACACTCCCTCGGCCTCAGAGATTCTGCTCTCTCCTGGCTCTCATCCT